CAGCTCTAAAATTATGCTTTAGAATTTAATAACACATTTTTTTTTTGTCTGGAAGAATTCATTTCATTTCTTCTTAAAGCCCTCAAAGTGCACAACCCCAAATATTTTTTATTTTGTTTGTTTTTTTACTTTTTTTAAGCAAAACTGATGGATAAGTGAATATCATTTTCTGTGGTAACACATTACACCACAAACCGTTATATCTTGTGTCGAAGCCAGACGGTAAAGAGACAAAACAAAGCTCTCCAAAACACATTCCACAATCAATGAGACTGTGAATGTGAGGAGCGTAGTTTCATTTCTGACGTGTTGGCTTCACGACAGGCCACTGTGTCTTATTAAGTGTGATGACTTTTCATCCTGGGCATCTGTCTGACTTTTCATCCGGCTGAGAAAAAGAGAAGAATATGGAGGAAATGTGATTGTCCCTTTGTCTTTTTTCCCTGTCAGGGGACACGTTTCCCCAGGAAATTAAACGTGAAAGGGGATGTGAGGTCACTTCTATGATACCGTATCACGATAAACATTTAAATGAAATCCAGAGGCTGCGAATGTCCATCCAGAACCCGAGGGAAGCGGGAAAAGACCATCTACTGCTGTTTCATGTGGTCTCACTGACCGTTTGATAAACCATGCCAGATAAACTGTGCCTCCTGAAGAACTACAAAAGAGTAGAATAAGTGTTCTTTAGATGCATTGCAGCATTTAGACCTTTTATCAGTAACTCCTTATGTGAGCGCAGCAACTTCACAGTAGGCTATTTATGCCAAAAAGGGTCATTGGAAATACATATAGTATATACATATACACTATATACATAGAAATCGCTGCAGTTTCCAGTTGAAATGAACACCAGAGGCAGTAAAACACAACAGCTTTTATTCCTTTTCAGACAAAGTATGATTTACAGGGCCAGAGTTTCGATTATGAAAGTCTATTTTTCGCAGTTCCTTGCGGAATATTACGTTATGACTTAAAAAACAACAACAACAGTAACAGTTTTGAACAGTAAGATTTGTAATGCTTTTTAAAGAATCCTCTTCTGCTCACCAAGCCTGCATTTATTTGATCCAAATTACAGCAAAAACTGTAATATCCTGAAATATTTTTACTATTTAAAACAGCTGTGTTCTATGTGAATATCTGTTAAACTCTAATGTATTTCTGTGATGCGCAGCTGTATTTTCAGCATCATTCCTCCAGTCTTCAGTGTCACATGATCTTCAGAAATCAGTATAATATGCTGCTCTGCTGCTCAAGAAACATTTCTGATTATTATTATTATGTTGAAATCAGCTGAGTAGTATTTTTCCAGGTTTCTTTGATGAATAGAAAGTTCAGAAAAACAGCATTTATCTGAAATAGAAATCTTTTGTAACATTATACATGTCTTTCTCATAAATTTAAAGCATCCTTGCTAAATAAAAGTATTCATCTCTATCATTACTTTCCCAAAAAACTAAATATATATATATATATATTTTTTTTTTAATTGCACAGACTCTTTCGAATGGTAGAGTGTATAATGTTACAAAAGCTTTTTATTTCAGATAAATGCTGATCTTTGGATCTTTCTATTCATCAAAGATTTCTGAAAAAAAAATCTCAACTGTTATAAATATTATTATTATTATTAATAATAAATGTTTCTTGAGCAGCAAATCAGCATATTATACTGATTTCTGAAGATCATGTGGCACTGAAGACTGGAGTAATGATGCTGAAAATACAGCTTTGATTCACAAAAATAAATTATATTTTAAAATATATTCAAATAGAAAGCAGTTATTTTAAATAGTACAAATATTTCACAATAATTCTGCTTTTGGTGTATTTTGGATTAAAAAAATGCAGGCTTGGTGAGCAGAAGAGAATTCTTTAAAAAAACATTAAAATTCTTACTGGTAGTGTGCATATATATTATATATATAGAGAGAGTCAAAAGTCTTTATAGAGGGGATTTTGGATATCACTTTTTATGCTTTCATTAATCTGAAAATACTGACAACAGACAAAAAAAAAGTTCTCCATTTAGAAATTAAACGTTAAATATATACCATATGAATAATAAGAAAAATTAAACACCCTCAGTAAATACCTTCAGAATATAGATAGGAATAGAACTGTTAAGTTTGGCGTGTTACTGAAGTGGAGAAAACGGCCTTTAAAGATACAGACGCAAATAAATAAAGTGCAATAAAATAAACACTTAAATGAGCCTAAAAGAAAACAAGCTGCGCAAACAAAATAATCCAAATCCTCAAAATTGATGCATGAGAAATGTTTCAGGTTACTTATGTAACCATGGTTCCCTGAGTAGGGAACGAGACACTTCGTCCTCTAGGGGTCGCTATGAGAAACCTAGAGGACACAGTTTGAAGTTTCCATGAAAGGGAACGTCTCAGGTTACTTATGTAACCATGGTTCCCTGAGTAGGGAACGAAACACTGCGTCCTCTAGGGGTCGCTATGAGAGACCTAGAGGACACAGTTTGAAGTTCCCATGAAAGGGAACGTCTCAGGTTACTTATGTAACCATGGTTCGCTGAGTAGGGAACGAGACACTGCGTCTTCTAGGTTTCTCATAGTGACCCCTAGAGGACGCAGTTCGAAGTTCCCATGAAAGGGAAACAATGGTTTTGCATATAAGCATATAAGAGTCTAAATGGTATTTTACCATGTATTGAATCCATTTACACCCAACTGAATCTAATTGAAAAGCTGTTTTTGTTTATTTCAGGGCGGCGGACCTGCTTTAATATCGATACCAGACATGCAAAAATCATTAAGGGGTCGACGGAGGCTCAGTTTGGATATACGGTTCAACAACACGAGGCAGACGGCCGCAAATGGTAAGACTGCTTCTTCAGAAACTGATTTGAAAAGATCATCTGATGGCAACCTTGAATTTATATTCCCATTTTGAGTTTCATAGGCCTGAGAGAACATTCCCAAATGAACATTTTACAGCTCTGATGTTGAGATCCCTGACTTTCATGCCTTGGCAAATCTGAGCATAGCTTGACTTTTTCCTCAGGAGAAATACTACAGCAGAAGTCTTCATTTGCTCTCTCTCACTGCTGTCTAGAAGAAACTATCGAGACATTACAGAGAAAAGCTCAATTTCAGCAATAGTTTTCTTCTTGAATAGTTTCATCCATCATTTCTTCCGATGAAATACTGCTGTGAAATGCGATCGTGCTCATGCTTCTTCTGTCTGCTGGCAAACACACAGTCTCAGATTCGATCTCGAAACTCTCTTGAAGACGTATCGCTCTTGCTTAAGTAAATCAAACATAGCTGCATCTGCACATGGGAAATTAAATAAGCAATAAACAAAACCATTCACAATGACAACCAATAGCATATGTTCATAGAAGCAAGTGAGTCATACTAGCAAGGACATTTAGTTTTACAAATTCAATCAATTTATATCAAAACAAGATATGAAAAATGGTCCACTGCAAAAAGGAAACCTGAAGGAAATACTACGTTAATAATATTTACTTAAAAGGACAGTTCATCCTAAAATTAAAATTAGCCCATGATTTAATCACCCTCAAGCCATCCTAGGTGTGTATGACTTTCTTCTCTCAGACGAATACAATCAGAGTTATATTAAAAAACGTCCTGGCTCTTCCAAGCTTTATAATGGCAGTGAATGGGTGTTGAGATTTTGAAGTCCAACAAAGTGCATCCATCCATCATAAAAAGTGCTCCACACGGCTCCAGGGGGTTAATATCGTCTCGTGAATGCGCGTGAATCTCGTGAATGGTCATACAATAGTTAGCGGAAGCTAGAGATTAGAGTTTATAAAGTTTTAAATATGGATATTTTTCTTACAAAAATGCATCAGTTTGCTTCAGGGTGTCTTTATTAACCCCCGGAGCCATGTGGAGTACTTTTAATGATGGATGGATGCACTTTATTGGACTTCAAAATCTCAACACCCATTCACTGCCATTATAAAGCTTGGAAGAGCCAGGACGTTTTTTAATATAACTCTGATTGTATTCGTCTGAGAGAAGAAAGTCATACACACCTAGGATGGCTTGAGGGTGAGTAAATCATGGGCTAATTTTCATTTTTGGGTGAACTGTCTCTTTAAAGCCTATCGTAGATATTAACGTCAAGAGAATTTATCATTTTTAATTTAAAATGTTTATTCTAATTTCAAACAGACAAGTCCCACCCCAAGCTCACATGAATGATGACGGATCAATGTTTTGAAAGCATCGCAAGGTTTCAGTGTCTCTCTCTTTATGAAGTCTGACAGACCATGTGACTCTAAGTGAGAAACAGTTTAATATAAATAAAATTAAATCAGATTTAGGTAGACCACGATGTTAAACGTAATACATTTCCGGACCAGGTGCCTGTATAATTGCAGCCATGCAGAATGTGACATCCGTCATCTCATCATGATAAGTAATGCCATTACTGTAACCCAGCTGGTCTGTATATAGTAAAGCCAATCAATTACACTCTCACAGCTAACAGCCTTTAAAACACAGGGTATTGTTTTTGACTCATAAAAGCCCAGACACACAAAAGAATATCATTAAAGACACTCCCAAGGCATCAAAACCCCTAAATCCTTCCTATTATTTAATCCTGAGGTTTGTCATCATTGACGGGGGCCTTTGGGAAAACCTGGGGGCCTTTGATGTGCGCAGGTAAATAAGTGGAAAGTATTTGCAGTATGAGCTCTGGAAAGTATGTGTTTTGACGCTTGTAATTCCCAAACCTCCTCCTGTGCATCCCATCTCAAGACAAACCATGTGTCGCGCGCTTCCCTGTGGAATGTGATTTACTGCGCAGAACCGAGAGGAATGCTGCTTTTCCATTTGTGTAGAATGTCACTTAAAGTCAAAGGAGTGTTTTGCTTCATGCACTAATGCATAAAATTATTTTTAGTTCTTAAAAACACATGCATCTAAAATTAAGTGTTGCAAACTATTCAAAAAATGGTCCCCTGCTGTTCTAGCCAAGGTCTGAGCGCATCCTGTTTACATGTAAGAGTGTCTGGATGTTTTTTTTTTATTCCATATGAAACAAAAATCGCCTCTATTTACATAAAGGAGTAGTTCAGTGAATGGGTGCCGTCAGAATGAAAGTCCAAACAGCTGATAAAAACATCACAATAATCCACAGCACTCCAGTCCATCAGTTAATGTCTTGAGAAGACAAAAGCTGTGTGTTTGTAAGAAACAAATCCATCAAGACGTTTTAACTTTAAACCATTGCTTCCAGCTAAAATACTGATATTAATATCTGATATTGCTTTCTATTATGAATATTTTCATTCTGACAGCACCCCATAATTTATCAGTGCACATTTGTCATCAAAACTTCTGAAGATCAAGAAGATAAATCAATATATATTTATATTTAGATGCATAATGATATAATATATTAAGTTTTGTTTTCTGAATTTTGTTTGGGGGGGGGGGTAATCTTATTTTCCCTTTAAATTAAGCATAAACACTTAATTTTTTTTATTAAGTAAATTTTCTTTTCAAGTACAGTGGGGCAAAAAAGTATTTAGTCAGCCACCAATTGTGCAAGTTCTCCCACTTAAAAAGATGAGAGAGGCCTGTAATTTTCATCATAGGTATACCTCAACTATGAGAGACAAAATGAGAAAAAAAATCCAGAAAATCACATTGTAGGATTTTTAAAGAATTAATTGGTAAATTCCTCGGTAAAATAAGTATTTGGTCACCTACAAACAAGCAAGATTTCTGGCTCTCACAGACCTGTAACTTCTTCTTTAAGAGGCTCCTCTGTCCTCCACTGGTTACCTGTATTAATGGCATCTGTTTGAACTCATTATCAGCTAAACTATTCATTAGAGTATGCTGGGATACTTGTAGGTTGTTTAGGATGAGAAAGAGACTGGTCTGTCATCCTTTAAGACATTGAGCTCCAATTTATTCTGAAAGCCCTGGCATGCTGAATTAGCATCGGCTGGCTTGGAAAAACAACCGGGTTGAACTTGGCGTTCCTGAAATAACTTTGCCTCAGGATAGACTAAACCTTCACTACAGGTGCCAAAGAGTAACAGTACATTCCAACAATGACTGGCGTTCAGAAAGTGGTGCATTGTGGGAACTGAGAGTGCTGCACATCCCAAAAACAAAAACACGTCATGTGACTTAAAGCAAAAACAAATCCTATGGTACACTGAAAAAAAAATGGAAGAAACATTTTGTAGAAACATTTTCACTCAGAAATTGCTTCATAAACAGTTACAAAGAAATGGCAACACATTTAATAAATTTTTAACATTGACATTTTAGAGTAGAAAAACTGAAATAGTAGCTATTTTCTTGTGAAACATACAGTACTCCAATAATTTGTTTTATTTTGAAAATCTTCACTTAATATACAGCACATTTTTTACCCTGCTTAATTGACTAGTTTGCTTTGCTGGTCTTAGTAAGGTTTAGCTGGTTTCTCAGCCTGGTGAAGCTGCTTTTCAGCTGGTTTAGTTTCCGGAACTTCTCTAAAACCAAAAAACTAGATTTTCTTGACTACAAAACCAACAAACCACCTTAGAATGGTTTATGTTGTTAGTTTTTTTTTTTTTTGTATTGACATTATGACATGTCTGAGAATTGGCTGACTGTGATACAAAACACATGTTTGTAGATAAAACCATCAAAGACCATCCAGACTAGTGAAAACCACCCCAGTGGCCAGTTCAAACCAAAAAAACACATTTAAACCAGCATAAGGTAGTTTGCTGGTCTTAGTAGGTTTAGTTAGTTTCTCAGCTTGAAGCTGTTTTTTAGCTCGCTTAGCTGGTTTAAGTGCCCCAAACCTCTATCAAACCACTTTGGTGGCCAGTTAAGACCAACAAACCACCTTAGACTAGTTTATGCTGGCTTTTTCTCCATATTGACCATATGACAAGAGCACAAATTGACTTTAGGTCGCAGTGGCAGGGGAGGAATGTAAACATTGCCATGGATGGATTTCACAGGCCAAACTCTGGGATGCGGTTTGTCCTCGCAGCTCTAAACGTCTTGATCTCAACGTAAACAGCATTACCGAGTTTGCTGTTGGTTTCTGTACCTTAGACTAGTTTATGCTGGCTTTTTCTCCATATTGACCATATGACAAGAGCACAAATTGACTTTAGGTCGCAGTGGCAGGGGAGGAATACAAACATTGCCATGGATGGATTTCACAGGCCAAACTCTGGGATGCGGTTTGTCCTCGCAGCTCTAAACGTCTTGATCTCAACGTAAACAGCATTACCGAGTTTGCTGTTGGTTTCTGGTATTGGCTCCATCTCAAATGTACCTCAGAAGCTGGAAAAATCTGCTTAGCGGTTCCCTGCTGCTGGGCTCGTGTAGGGTTTTCCTCCTATCAGGGAGTGAATGACTTCGACTGGAACGCAGCTGGAATGTTGAACTTGTGATCCTGTTTGTGTTTCTCATAAAATGGCTATTTGGAAGGATCTGCTACCGTTCACCAATTTATTCTCAAATAAAAACAACAGTTGAAGCTGTAAAAGTACGCAAGGAAAACCTAATATCCCAAACTAGATTTTAATCAAGCATCATGCATAATTGAAGATTACATCAAACAATTAAACCTGATCAAAAAATGCATGGTGTATAAATATTTAAGGAAGTATATTCTTGCATTTCAGGCTCCTGGTCGGAGCTCCCTTTGAGAGCAGCGGTGAACAGCAGACAGGTGACGTCTACAGATGTCCACTAGACAGCAAACCTGCCGCAAACTGCACACGACTGCATTTAGGTATCACATCACATCATCTGACACCTCAAAACGAATAAGTAGCCCAATAATGAAAATGTGCTGTTAATTACTCACCCTCAGTACATCCAAGACGAAGGTGACTTTTTTCTTCAGTAGAACAGTAAGGAAGATTTTTAGCTGAAACCGTGATCCTTGGTGATTCAGAAAATGCAAGTCAGCGGCTGCCTGTTTTTGAGAATAATAAAAAGGAACAAAAAATTAACACCCGTGGCTCCTGACAATATATTGAGGTCATGTGAAGCAAAACGATCGGTCTGTGCAAGAAACTGAACATTATTTACAGCATTATTACATGTAATCCAGAGCCTCAGGCAAACGGGGAAATCAGATTCGGATCTTTCAGACAGTTCGTTTCAATTAACTGGTTCAATTCACTAGTTCATTTGCATAATCACACAATGACGTCACGTATACGCAATTATATTATTAAAACACCCAGTAATGATGTGAAACGTCATATGTTTTACTTGTCTAAAGCATATAAAGTGAATAAACTAGTCTTCATTAGCTCACCTTTTTACATAAACAATGAGAAACCATAAAAACTTTCATTTGGCCCCTTCATCTTCGGTCCGAGTTGAAGTGTTTGCTCAGTTCAGTGACTGTTGGAGGAACTTGAATGAGTTCATTCAACATAGAATCAGATACAGTCACTATTTTGGCTGATTTCGAGTCACAGTGACTGTCAGGCGTCTGAAAGTGAGTTTTGATTGAGGAACTTGTAGATCTGTGCTGCTCGAGCCGCGAACTGTTTCAGATGCTTCAGTCCGATTTGGTGAAATGATTCATCTAGTTCACTAAAAAGAACCTGTTCAAAAGAATGATTCGTTTGTGAACCGGACATCACTCCGGACTGTTTACCTGAGGCTCTGGATTACTGCTAATAATGCTGTAAATAATGTTGCACAGACTGATCATTTCGCTTCATAAGACCACAATATATCATCAGGAGGCACGGGTATTAATTTTCTGTTGCCTATATATACTTTTTTTGTTCTCAAAAATGGGCAGCCATTGACTTGCATTTAATGAATCACGAAGGACCACGGTTTTAGCTAAAAAAATCTTCTTTACTGCTCTACTCACGAAAGAAAGGCACCTACAACTGCAAAAGTTCATTTTTGGGTGAACTGTCCCTTTAAGCTTTAGAAAGGCAATTTAACAAAACATTGTGTAATTCTTTCTTTTAACTTTCTCTTGCTGTTCGGCTGTTTTTAAGGAAAGATATCCCTGAACAATGTGTCTGAACGCAAAGATAAAATGAGGTTGGGAATGACTCTCACCTCAAACCCGAAAGACAACAGCTTTGTGGTAATATGCTTAATGCAAAAAGATCATCATTTTTCATCAAAAATCAAAATAGGTTCTGAAAATGGTTTTATGCTGACTGTGTTTTAGGCGTGTGGGCCGCTGTGGTCGTACGAGTGTGGAAGCTCCTACTACAGCACAGGCATCTGTTCAAGAGTCAACAGCAGCTTCAACTTCACCCACAGCATCGCTCCAGCCTTTCAAAGTAAAGCCAAACTCTTCATTGATGAAGATTCTTCTCATTAAGTATTGAAGATCACATACATATTGACAGCAGCAGTTTCTCCACAGGATGCGAGACCTACATGGACATAGTGATTGTGTTAGATGGATCCAACTCCATCTACCCCTGGTACGAGGTTCAAGATTTCCTGATAAATGTGCTGCAGAAGTTTTACATCGGTCCAGGACAGATCCAGGTGCGTCTGAATTACGACCTGGAAAATCAGTTTTGGACTGTTCTGACTTTGATTTGTGAAGGCTTGTACAATTGCAGCACTTGCCACTGTACTCCTGAGGATCAGGAACTCGTCAAAACAGTGCAAACTAATGTGATCTTTCAAGACAATATACAAAATTGTTAACAGAATATCAATTAACAACATTTAAAACCACTCAGAACACCCTAGCAACTGCATAGCAACAAAAACTACCAAGAACATCCAAGCTCATAACAACCTAAAAACTCCTCAGAACAACCTAGCAACCACACAGCAACATAACAACTACTCAGAACACCCTAGCAACCACATAGCAACATATGAAAAAACACTCAAAATTCCTTAAACAACATAGCAATGTTTTAAACCCCTCAGAATATCCTAGCAACCACATAACAAAACCTACACAGAACATCCTAGCAACCACATAGCAACATACGCAAAACCACTCAGCTAAACACCTTAGAAACAACATAGCAAGATTTAAAACCACTCAGAATACTCTAGCAACCACATAGCAACAAAAACATCCTAGCAACTGCATAACAACCTAAAAACTCCTCAGCACAACCTAGCAACCACAGAGCAACATAAAATCTACTCAGAACACCCAAGAAACCGCATAGCAACATAAAAACTACTCAGAACACCATAGCAACCGCATAGCAACATAAAACTACTCTGAACAACCTAGCAACCACATAGCAACATACAATAAAACACTCAAAACACCTTAGAAACAACATTGCAAAATTTAAAACCACTCAGAAAACCCTAGCAACCACATAGCAGAACATCCAAGCAACCTAAAAACTCCTCAGAACAACCTAGCAACCACAAAATATGAAAAAACACTCAAAACACCTTAGAAACAACATAGCAAGATTTAAAACCACTCAGAATATCCTTGCAACCACAAAGCAACCTAAAAACTACCCAGAACATCCTAACAACCTAAAAACTCATCAGAACAACCTAGCAACCGCATAGCAACATAAAAACTACACAGAACAACCTAGCAACCGCATAGCAACATAAAAACTACACAGAACAACCTAGCAACCGCATAGCAACATAAAAACTACACAGAACAACCTAGCAACCGCATAGCAACATAAAAACTACACAGAACAACCTAGCAACCGCATAGCAACATAAAAACTACACAGAACAACCTAGCAACCGCATAGCAACATAGAACCTATCCAGAACAACCTAGCAACCACATAGCAACATAAAAACTACTCAGAACACCCTAGCAACCACATAGCAACATATGAAAAAACACTCAAAATTCCTTAAACAACATAGCAATGTTTTAAACCCCTCAGAATATCCTAGCAACCACATAACAAAACCTACACAGAACATCCTAGCAACCACATAGCAACATACGCAAAACCACTCAGCTAAACACCTTAGAAACAACATAGCAAGATTTAAAACCACTCAGAATACTCTAGCAACCACATAGCAACAAAAACATCCTAGCAACTGCATAACAACCTAAAAACTCCTCAGCACAACCTAGCAACCACAGAGCAACATAAAATCTACTCAGAACACCCAAGAAACCGCATAGCAACATAAAAACTACTCAGAACACCATAGCAACCGCATAGCAACATAAAACTACTCTGAACAACCTAGCAACCACATAGCAACATACAATAAAACACTCAAAACACCTTAGAAACAACATTGCAAAATTTAAAACCACTCAGAAAACCCTAGCAACCACATAGCAGAACATCCAAGCAACCTAAAAACTCCTCAGAACAACCTAGCAACCACAAAATATGAAAAAACACTCAAAACACCTTAGAAACAACATAGCAAGATTTAAAACCACTCAGAATATCCTTGCAACCACAAAGCAACCTAAAAACTACCCAGAAAATCCTAACAACCTAAAAACTCATCAGAACAACCTAGCAACCGCATAGCAACATAAAAACTACACAGAACAACCTAGCAACCGCATAGCAACATAAAAACTACACAGAACAACCTAGCAACCGCATAGCAACATAAAAACTACACAGAACAACCTAGCAACCGCATAGCAACATAGAACCTATCCAGAACAACCTAGCAACCACATAGCAACATAAAAAACTACTCAGAACAACCTAAAAACTACCCAGAACAACTTAGCAACTGCATAGCAACATAAAAACTACTCTGAACACCCTAGCAACCACCCACAACACTCTAGCAACCACTCTTAACACCCTAGCAACTACCTAACACCACCTACAACACTCTAGCAACCCCATGTAAACCAACACCACAAGCAACCATCTAGCAACCACCCACAACACTCTATCGACCACCCCCTAGCAGTCACATACAATACAACACCCTAAACTAGGACTGCATGATTAATCGAATGCGATTGTCATGCGCATTTTCTTAATAAAGCCGGTTCTGTAATCAGCAGTGAATCATCATCACGTGCTTTCAGATGGAGCAGCATTTACTGCACAGAGCCGCAGTTCACTGATAAGTTACGCAAAAAAAATGTAGTAAATGCTGCTCCATCTGAAAGCATGTGAAAATACCACATTTAATACAACCAGAACACCCATGCAGCCACATACAAACCAACACACTAGACAAAAGAAATATAAACCACCCTGAACACCCTAGCAACCACCTAGCAACTACGAACAACACTCCAGCATTGTGCCAGGCAGTATAGCACAGCTAATATTTTCCTCAGAAACTGTATTACTCTAGTTTGTTTTCGCACTCCCTCTGTCCCTCCTCCACTCTTGTAGCGTATGGGTCACTAATGGTGCGCAGATGGTGTTCAGACTACAAGCTGTAAGAGGGGTCTTCAGGATCACGCTCTCTCATATGCAGGGAGGTGACCTGTACATACCTGAGCCCCAACACCCCTCCCTCTGCCACGCCTAGAGTGTCGAGGTCTCTGCCCAGCCAGACCTTATTAAAGTATACGAGCAGAGAGCCATCCGTCCTGCCTGAGCTTTTAAATACAAACATCCTGATAGTTTAATGGGCTAATTAACTTGGATTTCAGATCCTCAACAGCAGGTCACAATGGTGAGCATGAAGGTCGATTCTTGCTCTGCTCGGTGGACTGAGAGTGTTTAGTTTTATAAGGATTTGTGTGACAGCACACACCAACAAAACTAAACTGCACATGATAGGTGAGATTAGGTAGTAATTCATTAACTAAATCCTGTGTGTGGGAATGTAATCATAAAAAAAGGTGTTTGATTAATATGACTACAGCCTAATGTCAGATCCTCCAATTTGGCTGCTCTGGAATAAAAACTACACAGAACAACCTAGCAACCGCATAGCAACATAGAACCTATCCAGAACAACCTAGCAACCACATAGCAACATAAAAACTACTCAGAACACCCTAGCAACCACATAGCAACATATGAAAAAACACTAAAAACACCTTACAAACAACATACTCAGAATACCCTAGCAACAAAAACTACCCAGAACAACTTAGCAACTGCATAGCAACATAAAAACTACTCTGAACACCCTAGCAACCCCATAGCAACATAAAAACTACCCAGAACACCCTAGCAACCGCATAGCAACATAAAAACTATTCAGAACCACCTAGCAACCACATAGCAACATAAAAACTACTCAGAACACGCTAGCAACTACATATCAACAACTCAGAACACCCTAGCAACTGCATAGCAACATTTAAAATCACTCATAACACCCTAGCAACTGCATAGCAACACCCTGCCTACCATGATGCA